AAGTCACTAGTCATAAGGAATCTTACGGATTGGTTCCCTGACTGCCTTATAACCCAATCAACCGACTTACTTACTCACTTAGCCTGACGAAGCTTTTGTGTCAAAAGCGAAACGTTGCCCAGCAATAGATCCACCGATTGTTTACCAGACCCCTCTGAAACGAATTCTCCCTTTAAGATTTATTACGTGTTCGTTTCTTACATACGGGAGAATATTTATCCGCTTTTCTAAATTCTTTCACCATTTCAAATCACGTTTCGCATGTCCTATTTCCATTATTCGATAAACCTTTTGCTTCACACAACGACAGAGTAACTTGACTCGTTCAGTGAAGTGCACGGTAATCCAAGGACCAAAATAAGGTCTTTTCGCAACGTATCATCACCTTGGATGAGACCACAAACACAAGTGAAGCGGATAAAACCAGAGACAGTAGGCACTTGATTTTCAAGTAGAAGCTTCTACTTGCTTGCCGAATTCTGTCGAAGATTGGAACTACCGTCAACGTTGTCCACGTCACACACTGATCCTCTTCTCCGGATTTATCCATCACATTGACTCAGGACGATAGATCTCCTCGCGGAATAGACTGCCCTTAGGCTGAACGCAAGTAACCCAGTGTAAGCCTGAAAGGGTTACCATCAGTTTGTCCAATTGATGACCAACAACTTCAAAATACAATGGGAACATGCCAACTTTTGGAATTCTTGTGTCGTCACCTGAATCTGTCATAAACATCACCCAGTGCACACACTGGTGGCTAGGTGTCGTTATCCTCTAATCATCTTTGGCCTGTGGAACGATGTTGACAGAAAGTCACTTCCAGCCCCACCGTAGGCACTACGTCCTCGAATGTTAGTGCTAACCCGAATGAGAACATCCTGATGTCCGAACCCAGTGGTGTCATCTCCAGTAGACTGTGGGTTTACTCGAACCCAGATCACTTCTGCACAGCCTTAAGCAGTTAACCACGCTCAGTTCAGTTCGCCTCAGTCTATACTATTCATCCCTATCGCCATTTGTTTCAAACGCGGAATCCCTGGCGTCGGCTGCTGAGAGTACCTAACCATCAAATCGACATCGGGGGGAGTTCAACATTCTCGCTGGAGTTATCTGATTGATGTGACACTTACCATACTCTCAGTTTGACTGTCGCGTCAAACTCACCATTCTGTCAGAAACCCACGCGGAAAGTTTGGCTCAAAAAACGCTTTTCCGTCCGGGTGTTTTTTCCAACTGTAACACGTCTGATGTCTAGTCTAGTGTGTCTGTAGTCCGACTTTTTCTCCCCCTCAATCTATGTTAATGAGGGATCACGTGGTTTGTTCGTCGATTAACCAGTTTTTCTCGAATCGGAAACACTACTCAGCAGCATCGAGAAAACTGCGCTCGTGTTGCTCGCAACGTGAAACCTAGTTTGAAGGTTGTAGATACAGTAAAATATGACCTTAATACCTCCTTCTATCCCCTGACTTTTTGTTCAATTCCATTCTAAATTCATTGATGAAGGGCTGGATTTATTCAAGAAAACAACAGACAAATAAAATTCAGACCAGTAGAGCAACACGTAGTTCTTTGTTTGAATCTTTAAGGTCATTGGTGGTCAAAAATTGTAACAGTGTATTCAGACTCCCCAAAGTGAAACACTCCTTAGAAGAGAGAAAACAAAATTACCCCAAGTTTACCAGAAATTTCAATCTTCCTAGTAAGAACAATGAAGCGAAGAAATTCCCTCTGCGTCAAGCACCAGTTTCTCGAAGGTGCGCACTTCAGTTCACTATGGATCAGAGCATACTCTAGGTGTTTTGTACTATCCCCCACTGTCTAAGCTCTTGTTCTCATTCAAACTGATTGTCATTCAGAAAGAGAACAGATCATTTCTCGAAAATCCTTTCTCCCGGTCCCATTTCCCAGCTATTCCACCGAACTTATCATACAGTCTACAACATTGTGTACTTTAGGTTTCGGATAACAAGTGAATGTGCACCCTCCACAAAGATCATGGTAAAACGAATCTAACTCTCGAATCTAAACGCACACACGCATAGTTCTGATCAGCGCCCGGCCTCTTTGGGCGATAAATCCAGCTTAAGACATCAATCTGAGGCAATGTGTTCCCTTGAGGTGTCTTTACGGCCCAATCAGCAAATAACACAGTTTGAACACTTTTCAAAGGTGATGTCGCAAGAAATTCTGCTCCCTTTTTTGGCAGTCAAAACACGCCTCGTAACATACCGTTAATGCGAGTGATTCAGTCGGCCAGACATACCAAAAGACACGGCACTGGTCTCATCATTCGCGAGTCGTGGATGGTACACAGCACGAACAAAGATGCACAGGTAGGTGAGCCTCAAAATCTATTCAAAAATAGTTTACTGCATATTTTGTTTTACATCCCCTGGGCACTTTAAACCGTTCTCACAATCGAACTGTATTGACATGAGGAACAGTTTTAAAGCAGACTTTGATTGCCTCTGGTTAACCGAGCATTGACGACCGTTCGCTTATATTGCAGGTGATTGCGATTACCTGGTAATTTTAACAGTATATTCAACATATGTTGCCTCTAGTATTCATAGGTGTAAGCTATGATCAACAATGTGACATGTTGTTGTTTCATGGTTAAAACAACCACCCCGACAGAACAGGACTGTGAAGTTGAAAAGCGCCAGTTCAGTGTATCGGCGACGCAAGTGTGTTCAACAGGAAGCCTTTCTGCATATGTGGTGCAACATTATGGATTAGGCGTACTCACTGCTTCAATATATGCTTAGCGTTAGTGGAAGAAGAACAAAAATGTTAAATTGGAGTTCCGTTCAACGGTTGACATCGTTCCAGTGTCCCTGGCTAAACAGAACCATCTGAATACTTAAAAAATGTGTGTAATAGCAGCGTGCCAAGTAAATGGATTTGTTTTTCCACTGTTGTTCGGATGACCACTGATATGTTTTACCACCTTGGCAAGTGGCTTGCAAAAGTTTCGTTGAAGATACACCCTTGGTTGGTACTTATGTGTTTATTTCCTCCATATCTGCCTGCATTAATATACTTTTCAAAGAGTATCTGATACGTATAGATCTAAGGAAGAATTATCCACAAAAACGTGTCCTCTTTTTACGGAGGAAAACTGTATCAAACAGAATAATTCAACCAAAAGATCAAATCCAAGGGAATCAGTGCGCAAACAGCACCTATTCTGGAGGCAATCTATCAAATTAAAGAAATCAGAATACTGAAAAAACA